ACGGATTCCACCAAACGCCTTCGAGCCTGCGGCAGCATGAGCCCCCGGCTTGTCAATATTGTCACCCCTCGGGTTTGCACCAACACATCATAACTCCTTCATCCCGAACTTGCCTTCGGCCTAAAGGAGTGAGGGACTAGGATACACCCCTCGGGCATCACAGCAGAACAAAATACAAAAATTCCTCAAGGGAGAAATCTACAAGTGACGTATATAGCCTCCGGGCGAACATCAGAATAAAAACCCCCGGGCACGTACTTCAATATACCCTTCGGCAGAAGCAGAATATCACAAGTTTTCCCCAAGTCACTTGCGGAAATGGAGCAGCCCTCATCACAACACGTGCAGGCAATACACCTATGCTTTCCTCAGAAAACCCTCGACATGTGAGGGACTGAGGAAAGCCTTCGGCAGTCACACAGGTGTTATACCTCCCTCAGGAAACCCTCGACATGTGGGGGACTGAGGGAAGCCTTCGGCAATCAGGGGAAGACAAGTTCTCCAGCAAAGGCACCCCACGAAATAATGAAGCCTCCAGAAGAATCAACACAACTACTCCTTTTCCCTCAAAAACCTTTCGGCAAAAGGAGTGAGGGACTCCTGATGGAGTATATGGCCCAGGAACCCCCGGCCCATAGACTCCTACTTCTCCTACACAAGTCCATAGGGCCCAGAGAACAACTCAGGCCCGAGTGTAACGGCCCAAGCCTCGAAATAGCTCAGAATACACACGGGGAGAGAACTTCCCGAAGTTCGAGGCCCTATCTGACCCTTATCCCTATTTTTTTTATCGCGTCGTAATAATATCTTTTAGAGAAATATACTTTGCTTTAGTAGACATTTTTAAGCTTTATATTGTGCTAAAGAAGATTCATTTATGTTTTATTAAGTCCTGATGGTGTAAGAAACATATTACTGCACCTTTGTTAGGGGGTGGAGACAATTTTTCGTTGTTGTGCTAAAGAAGAAGTTTGTTGTTATTAATGTGGTGTGATATCATGTATTGTTTCAACGAAAAATGCTATCTATCTGAAGTAATTTTTATGTTTTATAAGAGTAAAAGAATGTTTTACTCTTATTCTTCCCCTCCAAGTAGTCCAAATAGTTATGCATAAGGGTCACTCAATACACACATGCACATAACCAGGGATGGATTTAGGGGGGGGGGCGGGGGGCAACCGCCCCCCTTGGACATTCAAATTTTTTTACCATATATGTAATATTTTCATAAAACTTTCATAATTTAATTAGATTCGCCCCCCTTAGCTTTTAATTTTCAAAGTTAGTATATAGTCTTACATAATGTAATACTTAATTGGAGATTTGAAAGAATAAACATCTAAAATAATTTACATAACTTAAACAAATAAACAATAGAGTAACTCGTTATTTAAGATTTAGGATACTTATTATATAAGAATTCCTAGTTTTGTAATGTTTAATTATCTTTATTAGATAACAAGTGTAAAACATATATCAAACAATATTAAATACCAGACACACTAATTACACAATTTTTAGATCACATGAAATGAATCCAAAATATAAATATTTATAGACATTAGATTACATAATTCATTTACTTCTTGGTTTCTAAAAATAATTTATTGCATGGATAATAAACTTTAAATTATTATAGAATTAATAAAAATATTAAAATATAATATGCGCCATATATACGTGTGTGTATGTGGTGCACATTATTCTAAAAATAACAATCTCATACATACTAGTATACTACTATTGTAATATTAAGAAAACTTCTCATGAGTCATGACTCACGAACACCCTCCTTGGTGGACAAAAATTACAATTCAATAACCGATTTATGAGGTTAAACAATGTAGAAGTTATTAAAAATGTATTGGTTGATGTCTTTGTCATCGTCTAAACTTAAAATGTATTAGATTTAAATGCCGTTCGGGATGTGCATGTATTAATGTCATTTTTTGAATAAAAATAGCCGCATAGTCCCACAGTAGCGAAAAATTTCGCCCCCCTTGACTCAGAATCCTGGATCCGTCCTTGCACATAACCTTCATGTGTGTATTCAAACGTAAATTATGTTTATAATTGTATATAATTATTTATTACTTCCTCCGTATGAGTAAAAATGTCACTCTCATTAGACTTTTCACGTAATTTAAGATAATTTATAGATTTATTGTACACTTTTTGAAGAAGTGGGAGTATTTCACTATTTTGGTACCGTAGATGTACGATTTACTTTATTAAAGTGTAATGTAGCTCTTTTTGGGATGTATTTATGTTGTATCATCTGTTCTAAAAATCGTTTTAGGCGCCCGACTAGTTCCCGCCTAGGCGCTAGGCGGTGGTCGGGCGCCCCGATTTTCGTCTAGGCGCTCCGAATAAATGGTTTGCCGTCTAGATGAATTAGTCGACCGCCTATGGCGCCTAGTTGCCCGCCTAGAGCGCCTAATCAGCCGCCTAGACCATCTAAATTCGCCGAACATTACTTTACTTTTAAATTTTAATTTTCTAAGCGATATACGTACTTTAACTTTAGCCATAAATATAAAGAAATGAAGTTTTAAATTAAGATAAATTATATATGTTTGTATATATACCTAAAATTTATCATTAATTATATTTATACCATAATGAAGTTAAGTGATTAGTTATCATATACTGCGTATGATTAAATGTGAGAATTCTATCTTTCATGTTTGTTAATATATCTATTTTATACACACAAAAATACAATATTATTTATCATATTTTTGCAAAAATATACTACTTAGTTAAAAATTCAATTCCTATGTCTCCGTCTAGTCCCTGATTAGGCGCCCGCCTAGGCGCTAGGCGCTGGGCTGGCGTCCGACTAACGTCTTTTTAGAACATTGGTTGTATCCGAATCTAGTTAGAACGGAGTTGTATACTAAATTCCGTAACATGTTATAAAATGATTAAAAACGAGTCTAGATCCGCAAACGAAATTAAAATTACACTCATACTCATAAAAGGCGTCGTAAACGTCTATGTACATGCCCAATTTATCCATGTCTATCAAACCTATATAAAATTGAACGTTTGAGAGCGTGTGCAATTTGCAAATGAGATGACTACTAGAAGAGTTTTTCCTTAGTCTTGGTCAATTTATTATGAATAAAACAAGTGCCGTGACACAAAATTTGGACTTTGATAAGTACAAGTTGCGTTGGTGGAAGCAGTGGCGGAGCCACCCTTAATTTGGTCAGTGGTGTCAATTGACACCACTGGAATTTTGTTTTTCCATATGTAGGTATATAAAGAAAAATTAAAATTTAAAATTGACACCAGTGACAAATAAAAAATCTCTATATAAGTATAGATAATCTTTCATAAATTATAAATTAACATCATCCAACATTTAGAAAAATGTGGATCAAGCTATTAGAGTTGTTGAAGCATTAAATAATGGCGAGATTTGTAGTAGAAAAGGATTACATCAAGAGCGTAGCCTCAAACGTGCCGGTGATACACGATGGGGTGTTCTCATTATGGTACGTGTCTCAACATTATTATCTTGTTTTCGTCTATCCTTGATGTGCTTGAGAATGTGGCTGAACATGGTTCAAATTATGAACAACGAGTTGAAACTCAAACACTCTTACAATTGGTCCAATGTTTTGATTTTGTTTTCACCTTACACTTGATAAAGAGTGTTCTTGGAATAACAAATGAGTTGTCAAAATGTTTGCAAAGAAAGGATCAAGATATTGTTAATGCTATGGAATTGGTTAAAGTTGCCAAAGAACGATTGCAAAATTTAAGAGACGGGGGATGGGATAGTCTCTTTGGTGAATTTTCTTCTTTTTGTGAAAAGAATAAAATTTCAATTCCAAGTATGAATGATTTTTATGTACCTCATGGGAGAGTCCGTCGCAAAGTTATCCAAATCACAAACTTACATCGTTACAAAGTGGACTTGTTCTATGTTGTGGTGGATAGACAATGCCAAGAGTTGAACAATCGATTCACAGAGATTACTACAAAATTGCTTATTTGTGTGGCTTGCCTTAGTCCTAAAGACACTTTTTCATCTTTTGACAAGGACAAGTTGATTCGCATGGCTCGATTATATCCTTTTGACTTTTCACGGTAGATGTTCTTGCTCTTGACAGTTAACTTGAAACTTTTATTCTTGATGTGCGCTCCAACTCTGTATTTATAGATATTAAGAAGTTGGTTCTCTTGCTCAAAAATTGGTGGAGACAAAGAAACATACTATGTATTATGTATCCATTAGTTTTTTACTTGTGAAATTAGTTTTGCTTTTACCGGTGGCCACCACAACTGTGGAAAGATCTTTCTCAGCCATGAAATTCGTGAAGAATAGGTTTCACAATCGAATGGGGGATGCTATGATGAATGATGCCTTAGTTACTTTTATTGAAAAAGATATATTCTAAAGTGTTGACAAAGAAAAAATTGTACAACGTTTTCAAAATATGAAAACGCGTCGTGGACAGTTGTGAATTAGTACTTTAATCTTACTAATGACAATATTTGCTTTTTTGCTTTATATATGTACACATTATTATATAATATTGTTTTGCTAAATTGACACCACTGACATGAACTCCTGGCTCCGCCACTGGGTGGAAGACCGGCTAGGATGACAGGGTGAGTTTTTCTCTTCCACTTTTCCCTTGCTTTGAAATGGAAGGATTCACTCGCACCGGTATCCAGTTGTGAAAAAATTTGGAACAATAATCAAAGATCGAAACTCGAGGCGATGGTGTAAATGATATAACTTCTGTGTGCTGTGACATACTTCTTTACCCAAAAAATTGAAGATTCTACGCCTCACTCCGTCGCCCGCCCGTGTCAGTCCTTGAGTCTTGATTCGCGTCAAAGTCTCAGGTGGGCAAATTGGATCAATTCAGATTCCTTCATCTCAACACTTTCACACTCTAAAAAGCATACCACCCAATGAGCTCTCACAACACATATTTAAAGCCAAACAAGCCTTAACACTTAATCCCCCCCCCCTACCCCCCTCACCCATCCCCCTTCACTTCATCATCTGCTAAATCTTGCCACCCCAAAACCACCCTCCATCTTGAATCACCCCATCCAAGATTCGAAAACAATAAAAAATCCATCTCCTGGAAGTGAAAAAGATCTCATATTCTAAGAAAATTGAGAGATTTTGTTGTATTTTCTTTCTGGGATTGGCGTAAAGAATGCAGAGATAAAGAAAGGCGTGAACTTTAATGAAAGAAAACTCTGGGTTTTTCTTAGTGATGAGGTTTCTTGGATCGGAGTGAACGGCGTCGTTTAGGGTTCAGAGGGGATGGAGATTTTTCTGCGCTTCATCCTTCTGCTCTTCATGCTCCTCAACCATAATGGTAAGTTTTAACTTCAATTCTTTATGATGGTTAATTTTTCACCCCTTTTGAATAAAGGGGTTTTGATTAATCTATTTATGAACTTCATGACTAGTAATACATCGCACATGGACTGACTGTTATGGTTTTGCTCCATTGATTTTTTAGATTTTCATCTCTTTGGTAGTCAAAGTCTAGATTTTTTTTTCTTTTTGAATTTTCTGAAACAAAATATAATCTTGGAGATTCTATGATCTTGCCAAGAATGAATTGTTTAATGTATTTTTGTGTTTTTGTTTGTTGTGAACTAGCTTTTGAACCTTTAAAGCCATTCATCATCTTGTGTGGGTATGTTTGGCAAATGGCTGTTAGCTGTTGTTGTTAAGCTGGTTGTGTCAGCTATTTCCTAACAGCTGGTTGTGTTAGCTGTTTTGACCGGTTGGTTATGTTACCTGATTATAGATAACTGTTTGGTAAAATTGGTTGTTTCGAAATGGCTGATAGAGTGTAAATTGAACCAGCCGAACGAATAAGCTGCCCCCCTTAGCTTCTTCAACAATCCATTTTTTCAGCTTTTCAAACTCAACAAGCTAATTTTAAAAGTCATTTACCAAACATCATTATTAGCTTCTTTGACCAATCAAACAGCTGAAATGGATCAAACAAGCTAAAAGCCGACTGATAAGCCATTTGCCAAACATGCCCTGTATGTTATAAGGCTTGAAAACCAGAGAGCTTCTGGGCCCAATTTGAATTGCACTTGCAGAATGATGAACTTTTCCTTTTTTGTCTTGATCCGAGATAAATTATACGGAGTACTTCGTAATTTGATGCTCTAAGCGTTTACTTGAAATGCCATCCATTCATAATTGTCTTTGACAATTGCCTTTGAGCTTAAACCTTTCTCATTTTTTAGATGTTTATGTTTTAAAAAGTTATATGGCTGGAATAAACGTTCTCATATTCGATCTCACACTTGAATGTTTTCAATTGTTTCAATTTTTTGTTGTGGTCTACTTAAGTTTGTTCAAATACGTAGTATGTTTTATGTGTATTTTATTATTGTCAAGGTCTGATCATATAATCTAATCCTCTAAATGTGATTTGATATTATACTATGATCTAATCATATTATCAATATGATCTTGGACTTGAATCATTTCAATTTAAAAACATTCTTATAACTCTATGAAACGTTTTTCCATTCCAAATGGCAATACTCCATATTTGCTTTCTCAATGACTTCATCCCTCTCAAATTAATATACAATTTGTGGTTTCTAAGGTTACCGTTTGTAATCGTTAAAAAAAAGGTTACCGTTTGCAAGTTTGTCTAATGATAAAAATGAGGATAAATTTTGGCTTTGAATTACTTCAAACATTTGTGAAAAAATAACGTATAATTGTATAAAGGTTGATAGTTTAATCTAACGAATGCACACATTAACCTAAAAAATGAGATGCAAAGTTTAGTTTCACTCAAAAATGTGGTGTGGATGTCAATTTACAACAAAATTAATTTTTCACATGATTTTATTCTATTCAATATCTCTAATTAAAAATTAAGATCAAATTAAGTCTATTGAGTTGCATATTTTAAAACGGCAGATTTTTTTCTTGTTACAATATCTCAATCTCAAATAATGGAAATAAATACAAATAGTATCTTGTCTAATTTATTGACTTTTAAGTTTCCGAATGGTTTTACTTTGGGTAAATTGAAAACTACAAAGTACTTAATTTAGTAAACGGCCACGAGCTTAATTGTCTTAACCTTTTTTCACTTCGAAATTTCCCTCTAAGTTACACCCTACTTTTTCGTTTTCCCAATATCCAAAAGGAGACCATAATGCCATAACTTTTCTTGGTCGGATTACAATTTTATGACTTTAGGGCCATGGAAATTTTAAATCAAAATTAAAATTTTTACTTTTTCATTTTAAATTAAAATTTTATTTCAAATTTTATTACTTTTAGCCTTTAGGGCCATGGGAAGCAAGTGGTTAGTTAATTTCAGTTCAACCGCGTTTGGCATCTCGATAATGTTACTTTTCTCAATTTTCAGCTCAACAAACGGCGTTAGCCTTCACGGGAACGTACGGCATTAACTACGGTAGAATAGCAGACAACATTCCCAAGCCAGAAAACGTCGTTAAACTCCTCCGTGCCGCAAAAATAAAAAACGTCAGAATATACGACGCCGATCACGGCGTCATCAAGGCCTTCACCCGGACCGGACTCGAACTGGTAATCGGGCTGCCCAACGGCGACGTGAAGGACGTCGGTGCCAGCGCCGATCACGCCCTGAACTGGGTCAAAGACAACGTCAACGCTTTCCTCCCCGACACGAACATCGTCGGGATCGCCGTCGGGAACGAAGTCCTGGGCGGCGGCGATTACGAACTGGCGACGTCGCTCTTGAACGCCGTCAAGAACATCCACAACGCCACGAAGAATCTGGGGATTCACCGGAACGTCCAGATAACGACGGCGCATTCGCAGGCGGTTTTCGCGGATTCTTTCCCCCCATCCTCGTGCGTCTTCAAAGATGGCGTTTCCCAGGTTATGAAACCGCTCTTGGAGTTCTTTTCCGAAATCGGGTCGCCCTTTTGTCTAAACGCCTACCCGTTTTTGGCGTACACTTACAATTCGGATAAGATCGACATCAATTACGCCTTATTCAAGTCGAACGAGGGTATTCGTGATGAAAAATCCGGTCTTTATTATGATAATATGCTGGATGCCCAAATTGATGCGGCGTATGCGGCATTGGAGGATGTAGGGTTTAAGAAAATGGAAGTGGTGATAACAGAAACGGGTTGGGCTTCTCGTGGGGACTCGAATGAGCCGGCTGCGACGACGGATAATGCCCGGACGTATAATTATAATCTCAGGAAGAGACTTGCGAAGAGGAAAGGGACGCCTATGAGGCCGAAGAACGTTTTGAAGGCGTATATTTTTGCACTCTTCAATGAGGATTCAAAGCCGGGCCAAATGTCTGAGAAGAACTATGGGCTGTTCAAAGCTGATGGGAATGTTTCTTATGATATTGGGTTTCGTGGGTTGGATGATTCATCAGCTGTAGTGTCTTCTCGGGTGTTGTCCTTGAAGGTATGATTGTTATTTCTTTGCTCTTGAGTTGTAATTCTGCTATGAGTGCTATCTCTGTAGACTAGCTTTTGCTTGTAAAGTGCATGCGTTTTGTACACACACAAATAGTTCTAGATTGAGCTTTGTTTGGCTGGCCTGAGAGGAGAACTAGAAATTAGTACATTAATTATTGTGGTAGATAATAAACCATGGTAGATAAACCAGAGCTCTTTTTAGGTTGTACACATAAATAAGTTTAAGGAAAAAATTGCCCCCCCTGAGAAGATGTGCCTGAGGGAGTTGCATTTTGGCCTTATACCTACTGATCTTAAATAGATGGGTTTTAAGAGAAAAAAGATAAGACCAAAACATGGGTGAGACAGTCTCACTGTGAGATGTAGCAAATTTGTAATGACTTGAAAATGATAGTAATAGGGATAGCCTCAGTACTTCAGTTGTAATGAGACACATAATGAAACCTATCATTATCTCATTTATTATAGAGTGACTTGTTATCACCAACAAACATTACTTTTAGGAGTGACATGTTGACAGTACTTCGCTTGATTGAACATAGTATCACATAAGAACTTCAATCGTAGGTGTTCTTCACATAACTGTAACATCTGAACATTTTTGGAACTTGTGGATAATTTTTTTTTATAACTAACCAACAAACAACAACATCCAAGCGTATTGTGGATATATTTTCTTGTTTATAACTAACCATTGGCATTGATATAAAGTGTAAGATCTTTTATAATTAAATGTTAATATACCAAATTCAAAAGGCAGAAACATGACTTCACGAACACTTTTGGGATTGGCTTGAATGTCTTTTGCAAATTTTCCATTAATTTTCAAGTCTGTTTTTTGTTTTTAAAAAACTCATACTTCCTTGATTTCATTTTTTCAGAAACGTAAGAGAAAAAACATAAAACATAAAACCAAATCAATAGCAAAAGGCACCTTAGAGAGGAGTAGACTTTGAGTTTCTGGTTCCAATTCAGTTTGCCATTACACTGCATCAACAAAAAGTTCAGTATATGGGCAATGATGCCAGGAAGATAGATCGGTCCACATTTACTTGCACGGGGCCAAACAATGGATTTCAAGATCTCAAGTTTCTTATCTAATAAAGAGTGCAAGGGGGATTGAAAAAGTGAATGAAATGCATTCACTTTTTTGAGTTTCTAGGTTGGACAGTGTTCATCCTATGTAGGAAATGTTCTCTTGGCATGAAAAATGTGATATGATCTCTTCTGCTACGAATGTTTTTGGTATGAATTCATTCAATTAGAATAAGTAATAGTGATCTCTTCTGCACAAGAATAAGATGAAGAGAATTAACTTCTTAGCTACCTACAGCAATGTGTAATAGTGCTTTTCCTAGTGAGTTACTTAGCCATCTAAGGGCATTTCCCACTGGGGTCCTGCCCAATTCATATTAATTCCCGACTAGGCCTTCTACTATGCCGTGCAACGATTTTTCAATATTAGTTTACGCTTAATTAAACCGCCACATGAGTTGTGTGATGAACTTACAAGTTGTTTTTCGTGAACATGCAACATGTTTCAGGGAGCGGGATATCAAATTTATTATCTCTTGATGTTAGTAACCTCGTCATCTTCGGTGCTTCTTCTGATGCTATGATGATAGTGGCATCCATTTGGGACAGCTAAATACGAGTGAGTTCTGTAGGACCATAGAGAACGGCAGTAGTGATGATACTTCACAGAGTCGATTTATTTATCTATAGTCGCTTCAGTAATGTATATGAAATAAATAAATAAAGTTATTATCATTTTTTGTTTTGTTCATGCCTTCATGCCGGGGATTTGGGGTGGGGTGGGGTGGGAGAGGGCGTCAACTGAGCAATGGTAATTGATGGGGTAAACTTAAAAGATGTCAATCCAAAATTAAAACTTAAAACGAGGACGAAGTATTGGTTTAAATGGTGGGACTGGGGGTTTTCAATTACGAGATATTTTTATTTAACTAATGTTAAAAGTAAACTTTTGTTCTTAGAAGCTGCTAGTCTTAAAATAGTTCTAAAAAACGTTCATAATTTTTTTAAACGCTTTAAGTTATTTACCATGCATACGACTAACATTTACAACATAGAAGGTATGTGTTTGTGTTTGTTATGCATTCCACTCATATGATGGAATTGGATATTCCTGGAAGAAAAGGGGGTGTTTGGAACTGATTCTGCTTCTGCTTCTTTTTTAAAAGCAGAAGCAGAATCAGAATCAGTTTCCAGAAGCTGGTACCTCCCATCTTCTAAAAAAACTGATTCTGAGAGTAAATTTGAGCTCCAGAAGTGCTTCTGGAATTTCACCCAAACACTCCAGCTTCTGCTTCTGCTCCCTGAAGGAGCAGAATCAGTTTTGAGAATCAGATCCAAACACCCCCAAAGTTGGCGAAATTAATACCAACCGAGTTAGTAATGTCCATATAGATTAAGAATTATGATAATGAGAGCACATTAGTTCGGTTTGGTATGATTTGATAGGATTTGATTTGGTTAAAGTGTTATACCCTTGTCCATCCTATTGTAAATACTACGGAGTAGATATATAACAAGTTCAAAATTTACAAAATTTGGAAGATATATCTTGATGAGTATATACTTGCATCAAGTGCAAGACCTAGGGGATGGTGGGCAAGTGCCCCCTCTTCCGACCCCTATTAGTATTTAGAGATAAAAGTCGTGCCACCTACCTAGACAAAAAAAAAATATTAGATATGCCCCGCAGTATATCAAAGAATTTAGAGCCCGTTTGGTAGCACAAAAATCGGCTGTTTTGGCTGATTATGCTGAAATTTATGAAGTTCTGGCTGAAGTGGCTGTTTTGGCTGATTCTGCTGATGTAAGAAAAAAATATTTTTAAAATATATTTCATTAATAAAATAAAGAAAAAATTATATGTAAAAATAGATAAAATGGTAATCTACAGTAACTTCAGCCAATACAGCCAGAAAAATAACTTCAACCTTACTTTTCCTGTTTTCACACAATTCAGCGTGCGAAAGCAAAATTACGTGTTTGGTGAAAAAGTTGGCTGATAAGCCCGATAAGCCGAAAAAGGGTGTTATCAAACGGCCTCTTAATTATGTCCTTAAACTAAAAGAACGTTCAATTAGACCCACGAACTTAAAAAATAAAATCAATTAAGAACTTTAACCCGTTAACAGCCGGTTAGAATCCTACATGACAAGTCGACGTGTCCAATTTTTCGCTGTTTTGCTTTATTCTTTCTTTTTTCTTCTAGCTGCCAACCATTTTCTCCCTTCTTTCTTCATTCACCCCAACAGCTCCAACCTTCTTTCTCCGCTTCTTTTTTCTTTGTGCATAAGATTTTTTTCCTTCCACCTCCTCTCCCACCAGGGGCGGATGCACAGCTTGGATGGAGGGGGCAGCTGCCCCCAATAAACCAACAGTAATCCTGTATACTATACTAGGGAAAAAAATTAACCAATAGAAAAAGTGAAATGCCCCCAATAACTCAGTGCGGCAATGCTGAAATAACACTCCGTATTCTCGATACTTCAGCTTTAATAAACCAATCGAGCTCCGCTCCTCCGTATTGCAAAAGTGTATGATTATCACTTTCAATTCTCTTGTAAGCCTATTAAGTATTAAGTTATTAACTAATTGAGTAATTTGCGTTATTGTATACTAGTACTTAGTATTTTGTATTCCGTATGTGTGTTATATTGTTAATCTGCTTATGTGTAGATTTGATGATCAAGCCCTTTTAATGTATGTAGTATTTAGATTATAATAAATAAAGAGTACGAAGTATAATACTGTTTATCCTAATTTGTTCTCAAAAAAATCCTATGATCAAGCCCTAATTTGTACACTAACTTCCTAACTTTAGTATGTTAAAATTAACAATAGAAAATTTGCAGATATAAAAAGTATTACAATGAAAATAGAATTGTGATTGATTGTCTTGTTTACTTTATATGGAGTAGAAAAATATGTATTTGGAATCGTTACAAATAAAATTATAAAATATCTTTCAAAAGTTGAAAATTCAACGACACCAAGGATATGATGTAGCCAAATTCAAAGACACTTAAGGACGGAATCAAGATCGAAGCTTGGGGTAAGTTGATATAAAAACTTTTTCAGATAAAATTTTAAACATATATTTTTACATTTAAAAAAATTGGGGTGGGCCGGGGCTCGGTTAGCCCCCTCTACCTCCACCTATGAAGACTCCAATTGTGATTCACCTTTTTAAGTTTTTTGTTTGCTTTGTCATATACGTAGTACTTTATTTAGTCTATAAATTCTTATGTATTGTTTTACAATTTTTTGCTATTAGGATATCTGATTATATTTTATTCCGCCCCCAATAGCTCAATTTTCTGGATCTGCCACTGTCTCCCACACATATCTCCTATCCGCCACCAACCAGTCTCAATGGTCCCTCCAAGAGGGTGTATCCGGAAACCCCCCACCTCATCAAATGGCATGGTCATAGACTCATTAGCTCACAGTGAATAGGAATTGTGGAGAAACCGAGAAGACCACCTCTATCTCCCTTGAAGCCATTGATGAGCGTTGGGGGCTTGAATTGCAATCGTTTTCATTGTAGGGCTGTCAGCCACCTTTTTCGTTGAGGAGGGAGGAGGATATACCCTCCACTCCCATTGCTGGCGAGGAGAAGTGATGAGTCCTTGGCTATAGTCGCCACCGAAGCAACCTTCCTGTTGCTGGAGCTTGGAGGAGAACGGAAGTGTAATAGGAGCTTTGCTCGATTGTTAATGGTGAAACGTGCTTAACAAAAGTTGAACTACATTGCTAAACTTAAACTAAGAAATGAACGCAAATTGTGTGGAATGGCAATCAACTAACTTTATTGATACTCCCCAGCCTTATATATACACATACATCATAGCTAGTCTTTACAGTTAGCTTAACAAATTTACAAGCGACTTTCTCAACTAACTAGCTTCTTGAGGGTTTTTCCTTCAACTTCAAAGACCCGACACCTTCCTTTGAGTTTCGAGTGTGGTGTTGAAGTGAATTGAGTAGAATATATGACATTAACAATAAATGGATGAGCAAGTAAAGTATTTAGCAAGTGGACTGTATCTTATTAATCAATAATAAGGGTTTGTTATAGCACACTCTACTATGAGCCCGCTGGGCCGATCGTCTAATCTGAGCAAGGAGTAAGAGAGAATAATTGTTATTGCTAGAGAATACAAGTTGTCAACCCCTAACTATAAAATAAATGCTATTATTTATACTACTAAGGGGTAGATGTTAGTGATGTTGTTGAGGTTCTTGAGTGGCTAGTTTGCAAACCACCAAATCTACTGCATTAAATGTGTTTCCTGCCAATATCTTGCTTTCCCGCCAAGGGGCCTGGACGAGTGTCCCCTAGTCTTCAAATTCCGGTGCCAAATAGGCACAACGACAGAGTTCCGCTCGGTCTACGCTGGCCGTTCTCCTCGAGGCTCTTGGGTCATCACCTAGTTCTGTTTGGCAAAGGTCGCTGACGTTGAGCGTCTTTGATGACAGTACTACTTAAAATTGTTTTTGCTCCTTCAGAGAGCAATAACAAATATTAAAATGTTTGGGTAAAAGAGTAAAAGTATTTATGGATGATTCGTATTTGGCTTCTGTTTTTATAGAAGAAGCAGAAGCAGAATCAATTACAAAACACCTCCTGAATATATTATATACTCATATGTTACTATAATTAAATATTATTTTGCCAAATTATTTATGCTATTATTGTTATCTTAAATGCTATCTTGAGTAATAAATAACAATTGAGCAAAAAGTTTAATTAAATAAACCACATATTCTACATTCTTCATATATTGCTATCAAGTGCAACTTTGTGCATCACTTCCAAGCTTTGCTCAGTAAAATCATATGTTCACATATCTACATAGGTTGTTTATCTAATCTTCATATAGTACATCAGTCATATCCTCTCAACTTCCGTTCTGGGTATATACATCTTTCGTAGCATAGTCATTTCCTCTTAACTTCCGCTCTTGGTATATACATCTTTCAACAATGAAGGAAAACTCACGATTTTCACCAGTCAATGAGTCTAATATATTAACCTAAATCCTCTTTCTAAAAGGTAAAAGGGGTTTATGAGCAAAGGTCCATTAGCAAAGTTCTCATGTGATCAAGGAGATCTGCTAGTAAATCCTCCTACCCATTGACAATAGTTATTTATCAGAGCTTTATGTGATGTTGTTGGTCTAGTTTGAGAAGTTTGATCTAGCAAATTCTAAAGCCTTGAAAGTTGAAACAGATTCATTTGAGTACTTGTAGGCATAGTCAAACCATTATATGTACCAGTCTCATCTACTCTTTTTTTTCTTTTTGAGTGGTTCTTTGTTAGTGCTAAAATCAGATAGCCCGTCACGCACACTTCACACTAGGCGTGGATCCTACCCAGTCATGGGCCAATTCCGGGCCGAGACCGGCCTGGCAGCCGGTCTTCACCAAAAATATGGGAGACCCAAGATCAGCCCAGCATAAAAAGATTCTAAACCGAGTTGAGTAGACCAGCTCGTCAAGTAGGGTGGGATCGATTCAATCCAGGTCGAATTTGCTAAACCTGGAAATTACCCGTAACATACTAACATCTCGATTTATTAAAATGTGTTAAATAAAAACCAATAAGGTTATGGATGAGGGTCTACATCAGATTTTAGGTGAACAAAACCTATAACACGCTTATGCAGATTGCAGAGATTAAGAGATACTCGGCAGTATTTTTCAACTCTAGCTCAACTATATGAACTGGAAAATATGGAAGAGATAGGACAATAGTATATGATATGCTTATACATGCTAAAATAGACATACATGTTCAGACATAAGCAAAACAAAATCTTGAATTGTGCATTAATATATCAAAATCAAAATTAGCTCGTTTCTGACATAATAAATCTCGTAAACTTCCTCAAAAAGAGGGGATACACTGAAGGATATGCTTCTCAAAATCACAAACTGTGAATAAACATTACCATTGATAAACTATAATAGCTCAGGTTCCTACTCATCATTTCAGAACATACAAGCTATCTACAGTTTAAGCAACCAAGGTGCTGGCAGTGGTTGACTCACTGCAAATCACAAAAAGAACAAAATTTTAGCTACATAAAATCATGTGAGCATTTTGAGAGAAACGCTATGAACAAATTGTCAGGTGCTGGACATAAATTTCAAAAGTAAAAAAATTAGCATCTTTCTTAAATATTAAGAGTATATACTTATTAAGATTCTTCGTTTCCTGTTGTTAGACTAGTAACCATTACTATCCATGCAAATATTCTCTTTAATTCCAGTAAAAGCATGAAGGTGCAACAAAAATAGAAGTTAGAACAGTAGAATATACATGTTTCTGATTGGTATATTGTAGTGCATAAAAATATACTCTGTATGATTATGTAGCTTAAAACAATTAAAAACTATAAAGATAATATTCCAAATAAAAGTCTAGCATCTCTACAAAAAATGACTTTGAGACTGATGGGGGTTAATGAGACTAGATGGGATTTTAGGAAGAAAGAAAATGAGATCATTTTTAGACCAGCATGAAAATGAGAAGACATGCTGAGAAATCTTACTATTTCCAGACAGGGGGGAGCTTCTTGGTTTTTTTGTAGTAGCGTGCAAGGCGATGAATTCTGCTCTCAACGAGAATCAGGCGAAACTTTGAGTCTTTGTCCTTCCTATTCCTCTCCAAGTGCTTCCTAATTGCAACTGCCTTCTTAATCAAATGGTACAAATCCTCTGGTATCTCAGGAGCCAGCCCTACACACAATTTACCAGATCCAAAGCTAACCGCATTTTATTATTGCTATAACAACTAACCAAGTTACAATGTAGAAAAATTTTTATGAAAATTATTACCGTGAGCCTTAAGGATGCGGAGAATTTTGCTACCGGTTACACTCTTCACTTGAGCAATTCCATGTGAATCTCTCAGAAGAACACCAATCTGTGAAGGTGTTGTTCCCTTTTTGGCAAACTTACATATACTCTCCTCCACCTTAGATAATCAGGATTAATATGAGAAACCTTTTTTAACACAGAAATTGATGCCGAAAGATAATAGGGAGTATATGAGGCAAACAAAACATCTGTTCACACTTACATATAATTTAGACATGGTATATTTTTTTAATTTTATCTTTTCATGTGTGTTATAAGTATTAAGCAATCTAAAAAGATGATAAGAAATCTAAATGTTCGGTCATACTTCAGTTTTCTTGCGTTTGCCTGAAGTAGATGGACAAATACATAATGACTCTCCTAAGCATTTCTTTCCATTCTCCTTGGCTTTTTCTAAGATCCATTACATTGACAATCAAATGCCAATGTGGCACTATACGGTACTTATGAATCTATGGCAATGTCATGGAAAGGAAACACATCCATGAAAAGTTAAGTTTATAACCAAGTTGAACTAGAAAGATAAATTGTAAAAATGATATATAAATACACACACACACACATATATAACTCATGTTTTGTTTCCCAAATGCTTGAAAATGTAAAGCATCGTTTAGGTTTTATAGACATTGTACAGTAGAGCTAGACAAATTGGAGGAATCGAGGATTTAAAACAACTGCAGGTACCTAAATTCATGGAGTGGGACTATTACTTAGTCCAGGTGATCCGCATTTAAAAACGAATAAGTGGGCATTCAATATTCAGCAATTATCATTTACTGCATTTGCTTTACTTGATGCAAACTAAAAATATACTCACTTCCTGAGCAGTGGTCTTCAGCCAAGCAGGAGGAGTTCGTTTGTAAGGAGTTACCGAAGAGGAGATACCTTTACTGAAATCCAATTGAACAAGTAAATCAGTCAACTTTCAATCATATCCTCCCATATATACACTCAGTTGAGAAACCTTATACACTGAGTTTTATTGACTAAAAATAAAAACGAGGAAGTACCCGCGACTGTGCATTCGACCCATGGCTGCTGCGGCGGCGTGGACGGAGGCGGCTGCGTGATGCTCCTGATAATGATACAGCAGCACAGGTCTTGTATTACGAGTCGTAATTGAAAAATATGTAAGCTTAGAAGTTGAAAGAGCTAAAGTGAAGAAGAAGCGGCTGTACCTTCACAGACGAAGAACGACGAACTCCAACGGGGGCCAACAACGAAGACGATGGATTCCTATAGTTTATATACTCGTGCGAAACCGATAGGTTCCTAGGGTACTAATTTTCGAATGAATGAATTGAAGCTGGGCCTAATTTCAAGCGTTGGATATTATATGGACCATGTATGTTCACCAGCCCAATAAATTTAAAAGCATTTGATTGTTTTCAAATCAGACCATATCAGACCAGATCAGATCAGACTTCCGTAGTTTTAAATTACACAAAGATCAGACGTTTACAAGAGCAGATTAATTCAGATCAGAGCAGATCAATTTAGAACAGACCAGACCAACAAATTTCAGTCCAAAAGAAAACATTCTTAATCTTGAATTCAATGTGTTTATTTCAATTGCTCACTTTAACTAGTACTCCACTTGTGAGATTCCCATCCAGTGCCACAGGACACTAATATGCTTATATTTTATACTTATTCATCATTTAAAATAAGGTAATATTATACTCATTTTAAGGTTACACACATGTGCAATAATTAAAAAGATAAGAGTATTTATGTGATCTACAAAGATAAAAACATACAATAAAAATAAATTACACATTACGAAATGTTTCTAGACATACAACGCCAATTGTGAAAGTGTTTAGCGTGTCGTCAATATTGTTTATCAATATTTTGAGTATGTCGAGTTACGTAACTTGAGTGTGTTGAATTGTTGTATCCTTTTTCACAACAATTCCCCATTCATGGGCTCAAGGTGATAGGAATAGATTTTCTAGAACACGTTTTTAGAGTAGCAGTTATAAACATAAGCTTCTTGATCGTCGCCCTTATCAAATATATCATTCACAACATGTGGGCTTGAGATTCCATTTGAGTTCCACGCCCCACAAGAACGCATTCGTCCTTCTAACCTAACATTGTACCGGTGTCTTCCCCGTTTCAACTCATAATTACAAAAGTAAATACAAGAGTAACAAAAGTAGAAGAAACACAATATTAAATACAAGAGTAACAAAAGTAGAAGAAACACAAGACTTTACTTATAATTACACACATAACTTGCAAATTTTAACTGCCCAAACAAACCTAACAAACCAACACAAAGCAACATAATATATCAGAAAATATTCTTAAGAAGTGAGGAGTTCAAGGCGATGAGAGTACATTCGTAAACAATTTTCGAACACATAGAGCAATGAAAGTGTTGTCTTCTTTGAACACACAGAGCAACAGAAGTATATTCAAACAATTCGACTCCCCCAGACAACATCATATTCGAGTCATATGAACAGTCAAAGAAACAGTTTTGATCGAATCTAGAAGTGAAGAAAAGGTAATTTGCAGAACCTCAAATCCAATAAATGCAAATAGCTATTGCTTTGCGGTCACGATCGAATCCTTCCACCTTTGCCTCCAGCCATGGAATCAATCAATCTACCTTGTCAATTTTCGCAGGTAAAACCCTATCTTCAGTCTATCGAGGAGTGTATAGACATTTGGGAGATATCACTGACTAGTACGTTGTTTTGCACTTACCTGACTTGGCATACAGTCCACGCTGGTGAATAATTAACACAACGCCATTCAGCCAAGATTTGCAAGTCGTTTGTAGGTAAACTCACTCATACGCTTCTTTTTAACAAGTAAACATGTTTGTGTGATATTTTTAAATGATTTCCTAACAAGTACATAGATTTATGTGACCCATGGCCGGTCCTAGGGGGAGGGCAGCAGGGGCGACCACCCTAGGCCTGAAAAAAGTATAAAGAAGATTAGGACCATGTTTTTTCTTTATATGTAATATGATTAGGCTTCTTTTTTTATTTATAATTTCAATTAATTAATTAGATCCAATGTGTAATTTTTGTTGACAATTTGAGAATTTTAAAACATAAGTAAAAAGTCTTGAACAAAGATAGACAAGTTTTTAAAAAGAATATAAATTTAGTTTTGATTTTAAATTGAGTTGGTTGTAAGTCTACACATTTGTTGTTGAATCAATAAAAGTACGTCTCTTCACATCTTTTTAGCCTTTAAGATTTTTTTCCTTTTAATTACAAAATTACCAATTTATATTATTGTCTTTGGGCTGCCGGTGCCTCCCAATTCTCAAGAATCATCTAAATTACTACATCCGTCCCACTAAGTTTGGGACAAGAGAAGGTGGCACGGTTGTGAATAAAAGTGGGTTTATGTGGTTGATATTGAATTGATAAAGTAAGAATAAAGTAGGCTTGATTTAGAACTACACAAACTTTACCAAATAAGGTATGTGACAATCTTAGTGGGATGGACCCAAATGGTAAAATGGGACAATCATAGCGGGGCAGAGGGAGTATCTATTATGCCTCAAAAATCCTAATGATTAGCAATTTTAAATATTTCACATGTGATTTTGGAAAAGATTGATTATAAAGCAGTTATTAATGATTTTACTTCACAATGTTCTTTTGTGATACGTGTGTTGTAACTTTTGTCCTAATATGCAATTCAAATAATATAAAGGTGAATTTCATCTTTATTTTATAACCTTTATTAGATAGTTGTAGGGAGAATTCCATAAATAGGAGTAATATTTTTTGAGAATTTCAAAATAGAACTGTCATGTGTTTATTTTCTGAATATGAGTATTTGCTGTCATGTTGGGAAAATACTACCATGTGTAAAATATGATACTGCCAAAATATGACATTAATTATTGACAATTTATCCAAAATAGTACTAAAAAAGTTTGAGAATTCCAAAATAGGACTGACATGTTTTTATTTTCAAAATAGGACTATTTACTGCCATGTTTTGGCAGTATCAGACTTCAAAAATGGCAGTATTTTCTAAACTTGGCAGTAATTACTCCTATTTTAGGAATAAAAAACATGTACGTCCTATTTTGGAATTTTCAAACTGTTTTAGTCCTATTTCGGAAACTTTCCCTTAATTATTTCTATTTTGAGAACAAAAACATGGTAATCTTAGTTTGGAATATATAAACGTTTTTAGTTGTATTTAGAGTAATTTGTTCTAGTTTTATTTTACTCCATAAATTTTACTTTATGTAAGTACGGAGTATGATTTACTGTTTGTCTTGGAAAAAAAGGCCAAAATAGTATATCGCCCATAGGCTCAAAATGGACAGGACCGCCCTTGATGTGACCCTTTTATTTATTTTTTCAGTTATTTGTGAGTATGCGACAAACATACCTTAAGGATGAAACTTTTGATCTGAAATTTAATGATCTAATCTAGTCTGGTTTGATTTAATTTGATATGATCTAATCTAATCTAATTAAAAAATAATTAGAATAAAAAATAATTTCCATTACGTCCTAGGTATACGACTTACGAGTTGATTAATGGCCGACCTTAAATAGAATAAATACATTGCCGAGATATTAACATTAACATTAATTAATAATAAAAACAATAACTACACGACCATTCACCAAACTCCGCCGGATCGAGCTTCTCGCCTATGGCCGTGAGGTTGTGCCGTAGCTCCGAAACCACAACGTAACCCGTTCAGTCCTTTCCTTGTCGAGAACCTTGAAGGCGTCGCGTCGCTGGCGATCGAACGGATCAGGCTTGAGGTGCTTGGACATAAGGTCGAGGAAGCGATTGAAATCGAAGGGGACGTTGAGATTCTCATCGGCAGTCAAACTTTCAAAACCTTCCAAATAGGTGCGCGGTCGTCTTTATATCAGAATTAGGGCTTGGCAATCGCCTCAAGCCTCCTATGCGCTATTTCTAACTTTAATTTGGGTTTTAATTTTGTTAATTTCATCTCAGGAATAATCCGCATTCACGATTTTTCAACATCTGTTACGCTTTCTGGGATAAGAACGACACGAGTGGCTATTTTTTTATCCATTCCGGTGAGATTTTGTAATGTCTTCGTTTATATCCACGTCGAAATTGTGTAGGCGCTTGGCTACGCGTAGGAATCCGTTATTATTAGGGACGAAGTACAACAAGACCGGTTGGAAATCAGGAAATTCTGCTGAAGCTAGATGCTTGAGTAGCATTACGGGTATTGGTTCAGGTTCTTCCGCATATTCACCAGTTTATGCTCCAGAGAGGGGGATTTATAGCAACGCCAATGTTGTTACTCAAAGGAGAAACTTTTTGGGATGTGGCGATGGAGAAGAGGGGAATATGCTATCTAAAGTTTACAATGAGAAGCGTGTTATAGGGTAAACCCCTTTTCTTCTTATTCTCATGTTTTTTTAAAGAACAATAGCATTCAAGGATGTAGGTTAGGGCAATTAGGCATAAGCAGCTGTGTGTATCGTTTTGTTGCTTATTTTCCCAGATGCCAATGGAAATTGTAATTTATTAGGGATTAGTGATTAATAGGCATCATCTTGAATGTTTTCTTTGTAGGCATGTTATCACGATATTTATGAACTGTAACGAAATGTTTTCTTTGTAGGCATGTTAACGATATTTATGCCATTGGGGGATTTATATGCCAGGAAGCTGTTTCAAAGTTTTACTTTGCTTGAATTATTATTATGACTTTTCATATGGAATGCCGGCTAATAACTTATTAGATATTTTGTGATGTACCAATAAAATTTCTTTATTCTTAAATGCTTAAAGCTTATACGTAGTAATATTTTACTTAAATGACTTGATTATCAGATACTCTCCAGAGCAAATGTTTGCTGTTGTTGCTGCTGTTGACCTGTATGAAGATTTCCTTCCATGGTGCCAAAGGTCAGAGATATTAAGAAGCAAACCAGATGGATCTTTTGACGCTGAGTTAGAGATTGGTTTCAAATTTCTGGTTGAAAGCTATGTATCCCATGTGGAATTAAAAAGGCCGTCATATATAAAGGTGAGGAACTGCTTAATTTTTTCTTGTCTCATATAACCTCTTCATTTAATCATCGGTTAATTTTGTAACTTTAATTTTAAGGACCTGATGCATCTTATAATTCCACTACTGGATGCCAGCATGATACAACGAGGACTACATTATAATGGGATTATGGGACTTGTAAATTGTAATATAGTACATAGAACTTAATATGTGTGATGGCATGACTGTGAAAATGATTTTTCCATAAAATTTT